CCTGTGGCTTCTGCATAACATTTCCCTAGTGCTTTTCTTCCTAATCCTCCCTCTCGCTTTCCTTTTTGCAGCCTTCAGAATATGTTTCCTGGTTTGTCCGAGACACCCCAGCTTGAGGGAGCAAGGAAGATGTACATGACCGATTTAAAGACGTATGGCTGACTCCATGGAACGGACATCTTGTATAAGCACTGAACAGCAACAACACCATAACACTAAAATGTTTAGGCACTCTTAAATGATCTGCCTCTAAAAGCATTGGATGTAGCATTGTGCAATTAGGTTTTTCCTTATTTGCTTCATTGTACTACCTGTGTATATAGTTTTTACCTTTTATGTAGCACATAAACATTGGGGGCAGGGGAGGGCAGGGTGGGGCTGCAGAATTGGCATGGGTGGGTATGAAGAGCTGGCTTCGGTTGATAGCAAGGAAGAAAATATTTGACTTGCCAAGAAGAGAAGCAATTGGATGGAGAAGATTGAATTGTTTTCTTTAAAGATGTAATGTCCCTTTCAGTGAAAAGTGATATATCATATTTTTAAATCATTACCATTTGGACACTGGCTACAAATAGTTGCTTTTTATTTTTATAGGAAGCTTACTTTTATTTGGGCCCTCCAATGATTTTTCTAAGTAGCAGCAAATGGCTTAAAAAAAAAAAGCAACCAAAAAATTATCCCAGTGCCTCCCCCCTAAAGTATCTCTTAGTTGGAACTTACCAGTTAATTATTCAGCTGTTTGCTAATCACTCCAGGAAATTCTAGGCAGAAACCTTAAGGTGGACAGGGGGGAATTCTGGACCCCCTCAAATCTGACCATGTATTTTTTGTCACACCAGCTGAGAAATTTTTCTTACATTTTGGTTTCACTTTGGGTTTTGTGGACACAGTCAAAATAATTTTTAAAAATCTGTAACTTCACACACACAAAAAGAGATAGTCTTTCATTTTAAGCTTCTCCTGCTCATTTCTTAATTTGTCCAACAGGAATGAGGGGTTTCTTAAGGAAGGTATGCATAGAGAGAAGGCACACTTGGGGAACAAGTGAAATGCATACTACATCTTTCAACAGTGTTTCTTCATTGCCTGTGTATGTGTATGGAACAGAACCATTTGAAATGTACCTGTGTACATAACTCTGTAAAGACACTGAGAAATTATACTAACTTATTTATGTTAAAAAGAAATTTCTTCTTCTTCTTCTTTTTTAATCTAGACAATATACAAGCCAAAGTGGCATGTCTTGTGCATTTGTAAATGCTTCTTCTGGGTAGAATAGGTTTTTCCCTTCTTCTGTTAAATAATATGGCTGTGCTTAAAAAAGTTGCATACTGAGCCAAGTATAATTTTTTGTAATGTGTGAAAAAAGATACCAATTATTGTTACACATCAAGCAATCAATAAAGAAAACTTCCATAGCTATTCACTGAGTCAGATTTAATGTGCTGCACGAAGCTTAAGGAGTCCTGTTTACACAAACATGGTCTAAGGTAACATTTAGATCATCGAGGCCCACAACTCAAGGATGTTTCCTGTGGCTACGAAATGCAGTTTGTGTTTTCCATATTTTCCTGTGTGGATGCACGAAGCTTTAGCTCTGGAAAGTAAAGAGGAAAAAAAAAAGTTACATTTTCATAGAAATAATATTGTTCAAGTCCCCTTGAGTTAAAATATATCTTCTGGGGGAGGGATGTGTCAGAACCAAAAATTCTTACATAAGTGTGGACTGGTCACACAACTGCAGGATTGAAAATGAAAGTAACGTGGGGACTCCTGAATTGTGTTATTTGCCCAAGTTCAGTGTTGGGGGGGAGCAATTGTTCAGACCACCTCTCTTTCAAAATACTCAGCTATGTGATGGACCCTGGGGAAATTGGTCAGTATCCTATATTGATTTAGGAATAAATTCATATTTAACTGGGTAACAATATGAAATTTCCCAATTCCTGAGTACACTGCTTATAAACTACACATCCCAAACTGGGTTGCTCTAAATCCCAGATTGGGCTTTTTTGGGGGTCTCCAGAGTCAATATAGCAGAGATAAAATTTTTATTTAAGAAGAAATTATTTATTTAAAAATTTTGTAAAAAGACAAGCCGTATGAAGTCAGATTTACAAGAATTCCTGTAATTCTACACTCTCTTAAAAAATGTGGCTGGAGTGTAAAAGTAAATTATTTGTTCTAAGGATCTCCAAAGAGGAACAATATTAAAGTCTGATTTGAGGTGAAATTATTTTACCCAAACACTTGCATTTACATCACAGCACCCCAAAAGACGCTCCAAATAAGATGGTATCAGCATTTTTTGACCTGAGATTTTTTTTTTTTTTTTTAAGCAGGATTGAGACTCTTTGTCTGTGTGGAAGAGGAAAATGGGTCTTTGAGTGGAGAGGCCAGTTTTTAAAGAAGGTATCATTATAATCAAAGATTTAAGCTGTTTTTTTTTTTTTTTTGTGATTCTGTTTAAACTCCCATTTTCACTGTTTTTCAGGAAGAGACTGTGTGAGCAAGAAAAACAACTCAAAGAGAGGAAGGAGTGGAGGGTAGGAGCTAATGAAATCAAAGTTCCTCTGAAGGGGGGGGAGAGATACTTCAAGAAAGTAATGGGGGAAAATGTCCACCGAGTGGTTGCCTGTAACCCATTTTTCCTCTCTTCAAGGGGTCGCCATGCGAAGTTGGAGAGGCTGGGTGTTAACCGCGCCGCGCTGGGGCGAGGTGGATGCTGGCCGCCCCCAGCCATCGGTCCGGCGCCCCTGCACGTCTGTGCTAAAGCCCTCCGAGGCCGCTCCACGGCCCGCATCGTCTTCCCCTCTCCGGACGGGACCGTGGAACCCGTCGCGACCGTCCCTCGAAGGGGCCGCCGGCCACCCCCTGCCCCGCTGCCCCGGCCCCTTGCGCCGCCGTCGTCTCCCCGGAGCGCCGGGTTAGCCCCCCGCGCTCGCCCGCCGCCGCGCCGCGGTTGCGGGGTCTGGCTGGCTTCAACAGGAGGGCGGGGAGAACAAAAAAAAGGCCAGCGGGTCTCGCTCCTCGTCGGTCCGTGGCAGCCCGCCGCCGCGCGCCGTTCCCGCGCCCGGGGTGCCCGCAGGCCGCTGAGGACGGCCGCGCCTCTGCCAGCGCAGGCGGGCTGCCTAGTTCGTCTCAGCAACTTTGTTCCTTCACCGCGTCTCCTCCCGGGCTAAAGAAGCCGCGGAAGCCCCCCTATTCCTCCTGGCCGCACTCTGCGCTGGGGCACCCCGCCGCCTCCGGAGCGGCGCGGGACCCTGGGCGCGTTGGAGAGACCACCTTCCAGGGCGCGGACCCTCCGAGGCAGCAGCCCGCTCCCACCCCTGCCCCGGGCTCCAATGATCCGCGGCCCCGCGCATTTCGAAAGCCTCGGCGGCTCGCCGGCGCTCGGTGAGGGCCGCAGCCGCTCGCCGGACGCGCCGAACGCCCGGCCGACTGCGAGGGTCGCCGGGGCCCGCCTCGCAAGGCTCCCCAGGAGCCTCCCCCGGCTGCCCCGGCGCGGAGGAGGAACTGAGGCAAAATGTAGCCAAAGGGCCGAGAGCCGAGGCCTGGGGGTCCGCGGGCCAGGCGGGGGGCCAGCGAGGCAGGCGGCCATGAGGGCCTCGGAGCGCCCACCGCCCCCCACGGCCGCCCCCGCGGAGGCCGCGGATCGCCGCCTTCGCCATTTCCTCGCCCTCCGTGCTGTGGCTGTACACTTGCCCTTTCGGCGCTTTTAAGAGGTGTTTTCCGAGCTCCTCTAACGTCTCCAAAGTGTTTTCAGAGTGTACTTTTTGTTTGGTCGAGTTGTCATCTCTTTCACCTGAGCCACACCCTATAGGCACCTTCTCCCTCTCGACTGAATAGTAAGACCAAGAATTTTTAAAAAGTAAAATAAATTAAATGACTAGAACTAAGTAGGGGTGAAGCGGCCCACGGCTGAGCTAGAAGACCTCGGGGGGCGGGGGGCACGTCCGGGACCTGGCGCGCAGGGGCCGGGTAGGGCGGGGTCGGCCCTGGTCTGAACCGAAAGTGCAGGCTTTGCGCGCCAACTGCACTCCTCCAGGCGGCCACGGCGCGCGTGCCCTGTCTCCCGCGCGTGGGGGCAAGAACGAGGTAGACCGGGGCAGGGGTAGACCCAGGAAGAGCTCAGGAGGGCTTTGGGCGCGAAACCTCGACGGGCCGGCCGCACAAGGGACGCGGAGGCCCGGGATTGCATCACTGCGGCGCGCCCCCCCTCTCTCCTCCGCCATTCCCCACCCTTGGCCCAGCCCCGGGCCGGACTCCGCCGAGCGGCTACCATCATGGCGCTCGGGCCCGGCCGGGCCGCGCCTCCCGCGCTCAGTCCCGGGGCGTCCGGGCCGCAGCCACCGAGCTCGCACCAAGCACTTGGCAAACATCGGCCCCTCCCGGGAGCGCAGGCCCGCCTCCCTTCCCTCCCTTCCTCCCTCCCTTCTTCCTCTCTCTCTCTTTCTGCCCCCCCTTCTGGTGCGTGCGCGCGCGCGCGCGCGTGTGTGCATGTGTGCGTGTGTGCAGCAGAGAACTTGAAGATTATTTTTTTTTCCTCTCTCTCTCTCTTTCTCTCTCTCTCTCTCCCTCTCTCTTTTTTTCCTCCTCCCGTGCTGGTGGTTGTAAACTTGATTGGCATTGGCTGCGCCCACTGACCCCTGCGCGGAGTCCACTGAAGATTTAAGGTGGATCCGAGAGGCTGCGGCTGCAGGCGGAGTCTCGCGCTCGAGCTGATTTTGCAGGGGGAGAAAAAAAAAAAAAGCCCCAAACCGTGAGCCCGCCGCGTCGTACGAATCCCGCGCGGTACCAGCCCCGCGCCCGCCGCGCCCCGCCCACCCTGCCCGCCGCGCTGCCCCCGCCCAGCCGCCGCTCCTTCGCCATTGGCCCGCGTGTGCAGTTTGAATTTTTTTTTTTTTTGCAAAGCTTGTTTTTTTTTTTTTTTTTTTTCTGAAAAATACAGTATCGTAGATGGTGTGATTCGCAACTTCCTTCGGCGGCGCGAGGTGGGGTGTTTTAGCTGGCTGTGTGCAGGCGGGAGGGAGGGGGCGGGCGGAGCGGCCGGTGGCCGGGTTCGCTCCCGGAGCGTGGCGCACGGTGTGCGGGGGCGGTGGAGCACGCAAGCGGCTTCGAGGTGTAGCCTCAGCGGGCACGGATGCCCGGGGTGCACCCTTCCACCGGCTGTTGGCCAGGGACAGCAGGATCCTGGTGAGGATGCACCGTTCCCCAGTCTTGGACAGGTAGAAGCGGGGAGGGCAGAGGGGTGACCTGGCGGGTGAAGGAGAAAGAACACCTTCGGGTGATCGAGTCAGAGTGGAGGTGGAAATACATCGAGCAAAAACGTATTCTTTCCAGTGCCGCTCCAAGTCCCGTCGGCGTTCAAGCAGTTGGTGTCCTTTTTACTGAGGGAAAGAAAAAAAAAAAAACCGTTTGGGGTCGGTGATTTGGAAGTGTTTTGGGATGAGCTTGTATCTGTAAACCAAATCGAGATAGTGACTTGATGTGCCCTTGATTTCTGGGTTCGAGCAAGTGCGTTAAGGTTGAGGGTTAAGGTTAGTAGGAATACAGCCGGGATAGAGAAGCTGTCACTTTTAATTTAGAACCCAATTGTGTTTTACTGTGAACCCTTCTCAAAGCTTCTAAGAATTCCGTTTAATCTCCAAATCACGCTGTGTCCACATGAGCGTTTACACATCTCTGTTAGCTGCTATACTGCAGAGGATTTTTAACACAATAGCTAGCCCTGGCCTTCAACAGTTCCTAACCCAGGGCTGATGTTTGTCAGCGAACTCCTGCAATTCTTAGCCTAACAAAACCATTCAAACCAACTAAGTGCCACCAACCTCGGGCAAATCAACCTGCTTTGCATCCTTAGCAAGCCCGCATCAGGATGGGTCACTAGTCACCCTGTACCTCCCCGGGACCCACCTAAGCAGGGCGGACCCCGAGGAAACACACAGGCCTTGCTATGGGAACATGGTCCAAAAGGTTCAAGCATCAAAGCAGGATTTGGACCCATAACTTTCAAAGTCTGTTCTAGACGCTGTAGTTCCAGCCTTTACACGTCTATATTTCCACTAAATTAGGCTATTCTCCTTGGTTTTCAGCCAGCTGTGCTGTCCAGTAGCCAGTTACCCTGAGTGTGTGTGTGTGTGTGTGTGCGCAGGGGGGACAGTTAGCCAAGCACTCAAATGTGGCCGGTCTAGACTGCAGTGTGCTGTTAGGTGTAACACGCTCAGCAGGAGAGTGTGAAAGAAAAATGTTAAATATCTCATTTGTAATTTCCATGTTTATTATGTCACAATATTTCTGAGATGTTGGGTTGAATAAAACATTGTTAAATGAATTTTATCTGCTCCCTTTTGCAGTCTTCAGTATGGTCACTGGTCCATTTGACTCACAGCTACCTCGAACGATCTGCTGGAAAATTGATGCTCTAGATGAACTCCTGTCATGGACTGGAGGCCCCTTCTTGAAGAATGGCGACTAACAATGCTGGCACCTCCATGTCCAAATTGAAGTAAGGCCCCAAAGTCAGCTTCTAGAATTGTTGAATAGAATCCTGCCAATATCTGGTCTTGAACACCTAGGGTTAGAGTCCAAATGTTGGGAATGTAACGCGGTTATTAAAAAAAGTGCTACTTAAGGCCTTTTTGGCCAATGTGTGGTTCCATAAGATTTTAGTGCAACTGAAAAGTTCCTATTATCATCATGTGGCTCAGTGATGCTGATGTAAACAGACCTGTAGCATTGACAGGTGTACATCCCATACAGTTTTGGTCCAGTGCATAGGCTTTGATAATGAACGACTAGTTACAGACTTAGTATTTGTTATATATTTAGAGAAAATTTTTGTCTGTGTGACAGGCAGAGTCAGAAAATTTAAGATGCCAAAGCTGAGGCCTGGCAACTGAGTCCAGGTCTTGTCCGTTGATGGCAGGAACAACACGAGCCCTGCCCTGCTGCCTCCCAGGGTCCACGTGAGCAGAAAGCTGGTGTTAGGAGCAGTGATGGGTAGCTAACCTAGAACTGCAGTGTGGAATGCAGACAACTGCCTTGCCACGCACCTAGCTAGGTACACACATGTATTTTAATCAGTGTTTTAGAGTTTACTCCTTTTTTTTTTTTAAGTGAAGTGTGGAATACCCTCAGGGAGGCCCTTTGGTAGACAGTCCAGGGCACACCTTTTGTTCTCATCAGAGGTGACCACTGCCTGCTCATTATTGCCCCAAGACCTTCCAGGAGGACAAGGTGTGAAGACAGGGACACAGATGAGCCGCACCCCATATGGGTGTAGGCTATTGTGGTTTTTCTCTTAGTTTTTGTAAAGCTGTTGCAATGCATTTGTTTTAAGCTAATCGTTATAACAAAAATCACCATGTTTTGAAAAGAAAGTCAAATGTTTATAAGGTAAGAAAGTGACAGTAAGATCAGGTGAATGTTGAAGAAAGAAAAAAATTTATAGAACGAATCTAGCATAGCCTGAGTGTAGAGTGTAAGTCTCTGGAGGCAGACAGGAGAGTCATTCTCTCACTCACTGACTCTCCCTGCACAGCTTTCAGTCCTACAGCTTGCTAGATTCATGGGCAGTACCCACCCGGGGGCACATTCTCCCATCTTTTACACCACGGTTCGGCACCTTTCCTGTGATTGGATACAGACTCACTGTGTGCAGTAACAGTAACATGGTGTGTGGCCTGGAGGGGGAGGATGTGTGTTCCATAGGTGGGTACTTCAGATAAGCTTCCTGTTGGTGCTAAAACTTCTGGAAAATTTGAAAAACTTTACTATACACTTTTCCCTTTAGGTTTTTGAAGGTCTCTCGTATTCATTTATCTTGCATTAAAATAAACTTGTGTCTTTTAATTCTATTTTCCATTTTTTGTCTTTTCAGATATATTTATTTATTTATTTATTTATTTATTTGAAAGAGGGATAGGGAGAGGAAAGAGGAAAGCGACAGAGGGAATTCTGTTTGCTGTTCACTCCCCCGGATAGTCACAATAGCCTGCACTGGTCCAGGCTGCAGCTAGGAGCTTGGAACTCCATCTGGATCTCCCATGTGAGTGGCAGGGGACCAAGCACTTGGGTCATAACCTGGAGCATCAACAGGGAGCTGGATTCGGAGCAGAGTAGCTGGTGTGGTACAGGTGTCACAAATGGTCAACTTGCAATGTCGTAACACCAGTGCCCCCATGAGCTTTGAAGTTCCCACATACAGCCCAGCTATGTGGTGGGCTGTCTAAGTACATGTCATGGTGTGCACTCAGCAATGGGATCCTCTCATGTTGCGCTGCCTAGCACATAGCCACCATGAAGTGACACATGATTGTGTGTCTATAAGGAGATCAGATGGGGTCACCACGGCTTTCTGCACGATGGAGATAGATGAAGAAGTCCCATAGATGAGGAATGACAGAAACAGACTCCAAAAAAGAAAAACCTCCACAAGTAACTTTTCACTACCAGTCCTCAGGGGACAGAAGAGTGGTGGGAAGACACAGCGGTCTCAATGGAAACAGTCTGACAGGTGGCTTGGACAAAGGGAACGGTGCCCCATGGAGGAGTGCTCACCAGGTTGAAACTGGAAGTCCTTCCTAATGAATCTATACCTTTACACCACATCCTGAGAATGAGGGGGGTGATGACTGATTAATTTGAGAGGCATTTGGGCAGGGGGAAAGACATACTCCTCATTTGCTGATTCACTCCTCAGACACCTGCCGTGACAGGAGCCAGAAAATCAGCCTGTGAATGGCAGGGACCTAGTTACTTGAGCCTCAGTGTCCCAAGGGTATGCATGGGCAGGGAACTGGAGTCAGAAACTGGAGCACTCCGTGGGAGACAAGCCCTAGGCCAGTGCTTTCGTGTAGGCCAGGTGCCTGCCCCTCCAGTGGGTTCTGGTCATGTTATTTAATTTCATTGCTCTACCAAGCAGGCACCCAGGATCATATCATTGTTGTTATTGTTATTATTACTTAGTTACTTTGGGATTATATACATATATAGATTATATATACATATATGTATATGTATGTATTTCAAGATGCAGTTCCATAGACTCAGGATTTCCCCTCCCTCTTCCCCATTCCCCTCCCCCACTGTTTCCCCTGTATTATTACAACAGTATAATCCTTCAACATCACAAGTCCAACATTCTATTTAAATGCATCATGACATTGTAGGAGTAGACAATGGTGAAGTCCAGAATCCTATCGTCAAGATGTATTTAACAGCTTCATTGGCAGTCTTTTATTCAGGACTATATTATTTTAAACACTGTGAATATTGAATTTGTTTCCATGTATGATAAAATTAGTCTTCCACACCCCTTTGCTTTCCCTTTTTCCCCCCATAAATGTGGATTTGTCTTAAAGTGGGCTCTTTATCTCACATTTCTATATCAGGATACATTTCTGAAGAAGTAAAGAAAGTGAAATAGATAAAAACGTGCAGGGAGCCGGATGAGAAGTGGAGCTGCCGGGATTAGAACCGGCGCCCATACGGGATGCCAGCGCATTCAAGGCAAGGACTTGAACAAGGACACTACCGTGCTGGGCCCCCATTTTGAGCATTTTAAGATGTCCAGTCTGACGACACAAAGAGCTTTCACACTGCTTAGTGACTATGGCCTCTGGGTCATTTTCTTCCAACTTTTCTTATGATAGCTTTTTCCATGCACGTTTTTATTTTTAGCTTATCAAAGGGATCAATATGTTATATCTTATGAATTAAATATTTTGTGTCATACCTGGAAAGCCCTTCCCTTCTCTGAGATTTTATTTTTCCAATGCTTTTCCTGAAATACAAACTGTATTGAGAAGTCAGATGTTTCGTTAAAAGAAGTATAGTTAGGATTACCCAGACACATGGGCAGCTATTCTTGCTTTTTTAAAAAAGAATTTTTTTTAAAGATTTATTTTTATTATTTTTTTTTATTGGAAAGGCGGATATACAGAGAGGAGAGACAGAGAGGAAGATCTTCCGTCCGATGATTCACTCCCCAAACGAGCGCAAGGGCCGATGCTATGCCAGTCCGAAGCCAGGAGCCTCCCACACGGGTGCAGGGTCCCAAAGCTTTGGGCCATCCTCGACTGCTCTCCCGGACCACAGGCAGGGAGCTGGAAGGGAAGCGGGGCTGCTGGGATAGAACCGGCGGCCATATGGGATCCCGGGCGTGCAAGGCGAGGACCCTCAACCACTTGCGCCACCGCGCCGGGCCCAAAAAGAATTTTTACTAACATATTTCTATTAATTTGAAAAGGAATGAGAGAGATCATCTGTCCACAGGTTCACACCCCCAAACGTACTGCACCATCCAGGGCTGGGCCAGGCCAGAATCCAGAGCACAGAATTCCATCTGGGCCTCACACACGGGTGATGGGAGCCCACTATCTCAGCGATCACCGGCCACCCCCCAGGAACATGGGCCAGAAATTGGAATCAGGAGGGAAGTTGGGACTTGAACCCAAGCTCTCTGACATGGGATGCAGGCTTCCCAAGTGTGGTCTAACCGCCGTGTTGGCAGTCCACCCTCATTATTCTTTCTTGATGGCTTGGTCTTTGTTTTCCTCCTTTTTATCTAAGGTTTTTTGTAGTTTCACTGGTGACCAAGGAAACAAGGAATGCGTGCGTGAGGAAGCCATGGCCTGCGTGAGCCATCACCCAGGTTCATTTCTCTCCCCCAAACCACCTCATCTTGGGTTAATGGCCTTGCTTTACCTGGCCCTTGGCATTCCTCAGCTCAGTTGTTTCCAAACAGCACACAGGCTTTTGTGACACACTCTCACCCATTCCTGCTTCCCATCTCTTTATCATCAGTAATCCACGTCTCCAGAATCCTTGCCTGCCTCCGGTTTTTCCTTCAAACACTCCATTCTTTCACATTTTGTTTGTTTGTTTTGATTTCTTATTTATTGGATAGGGAGAGGCGAGACAGAGAGAGAGAGAGGAGAGAAAGCTAAAAACCTAAAGAGAACCTCCACATTATCTGTTGGTTCCAAGTGCTCACAATAGCCAGGGCTGAGCCAGGCCAAAGCCAGGAACCTAGAACTCCAACTTGGTCTCCCACATGGGCGGCAGGGACCCCAGGGTGCTTATTAGCAGGGATCTAGGTTGAAAGAGAAGCAAAAGCACAAACCCAGGCCCTGCTATATGGGATATAGGTGTCCCAAGCAATGTCTAAACTGCTGCACCAAACAGCCATTCCTCGACTGTCTTTTAAAAGCTTTGAGCATAGTTTATTGCACTACATGAGAAGTATGAAATATCTAATCAGTAGAGTGAGAAAATAATGTGTGGGTAGGTAAGTGGTGTTATAGGTGGCTAAACATTTGGAGAAAACTGCTGAATATGCAACACATGTGTGTGAGTATTTTATATTTTTATACACTGTGGGTTTAACATGTGTAGTCCATGATTGCACAATTCCTGTCTATAATAAATCTTGGGAAATAGTAAGATTTATGACCAAAAATCTTATTTTTCATCAGAATAATCGTTTGCAGTGTTATAATTAGC